ACCAATTCTCTTTTTTTTTTCTTCCTTTGTTTCTTTAGCTTCTTTTCAAAGTCATTCACATGGGTGAAGACTAACAAACATAAAAGTTACATATATTTATATTTTGCTCCCCTTTGTTTCACTTCATATATATGAGCCACAAAACTTAAATATTTCTTATACTTTTAACTCAAAACTCTTAATATTTTACCCTTAAAATACATCTAAAAATTTGGGATCTCACAATTTACCCCCTTAAAAGAATTTTGCCCCCAAATTCCTTAAGCTATTGATTTCCATGGCACATCATTATCATTATATTTTTTTTACATCCTCCACAATTTAAACATATATGTAATATGTTGACAAATAAGGGGAGCTTAATGTAATTATCCAAAAACTATATTTACATCTTTTCAAACGTTCAGAACTTGAACCACCAAGCTCTCTCTCTCTCTTCTTTTACCTAGTTGTTTGACCTCACAATGAAAATANTGTTTGACCTCACAACGAAAACACAGTGAACTCACACTTCCCACAAATCTCATATAAGATCTGAAGCCTAAAATGTGATACCATTTGTAACGCCCCAATTTTTTATAGATGTTAATTGATATAAAAACACTTAAATAAAAATAACAGAGCGTTAATTGTCCCAATAAAATTTTATTTATCAAAATCATCTCCTAATACAAATAAATCTATCAATATAAATAAATCTCCTAATACGATTAAAATATCAATTATATCGACATCTTCTCGTCTCGTCTTTAATACTCTAATTATCTCGTTCAGATCTTTTCTCTAAAATTAATCTGAAAATATTAAATAAAGCGGGAAAGTATATAATATGATGAGAAAAAAATATGTTCAAAGACATTAATTAACGAATAATCGAGTATTACAAAGTATCTCAATCAATAAATACAAAAATCATATTTGCATGTCACACGTTATGCAAGATCTTAAAACAGATCTGACACCTCATTAATCATCCCACCTCAACCCAATCTCATGCGTCTCTTGGTTGGCGATGCATCGGCTATTGGTTGCCACAATCCTGTCTCAATATCCTCAGAACACGATCAATGAGATCAAAATATTCAACGATATTCAATCAAAATTTCAAAAATAATGATATCACAATATGAAATTCAAATCAGAAGATAGTCAAAAAAATATTCTTTGCAAAGAGATTTAAGGAGAACATATTGCATATTACCTTGTACCTTAAGGGATTATCTCATTTCACAAATTGAGCGGCAACATGTAAACTCTAAATCAAAGACTCCAATTCTTTGTCACTATCTTGTCTGCATTTTCCTACTTCCCTTTTTTCTTTTCAATGATGCTTCTACCTTTTTATGGAAAACACGATACATAACTCCCATTAACTCTCAATCACCATCACCCCATTGACCAATTCACTTTTTTTTTTATCTTGCTTTGTTTCTTTAGCTTCTTTTCAAAGTCATTCACGTGGGTTAAGACTAATAAACATAAAAGTTATATATATTTATACTTTGTTTCACCTAATATATATCAACCATAAAACTTAAATATTCCTTATAGTTTCACCTCAAAATTCCTAATATTTTACACTTAAAATACTTCTAAAATATTGGGATCTCATGGATGTCGGTGGAATGCGCTGGGATGCTGGGAGTTGTTGTCGCTGTCGATGGAGTGGCTAGGGCTGTGGTGGTTTTGCTAGGGCAGTGGGTGGTTTCAGGCAGTGGCTGGGGTAGTGGGCTGGTTCTATGGGTGGCTGTCGGTGGTTGGTTTGGGTGGTATTGTGGAGACTGGGATGGTTTCGTTGGGTGGCTGCTGTCGATGGATAGTGGGGAAGGCTAGGGTTAGGGTTTAGGGTTAGAGGTAGGGTTTTACTCTAGTACCAACTTGAAGTATCTATGAGTGAAAAGAATGCATAAACTGAGTGTAGAGTCTCGTATATATAGCCAAATAATAATACAAAGTGACTAGAATACCCCTCTGATCTAGGCAATACATAAAAGTCATAGTAAGGGTAAAAAAGAGAAAAACCAAGAAAACTAAACTATAACTCCAACACATATTAAGAGTTGCTTTCTAATTTGTTCATAATAAAATGTACCCGATTAACAGAGATCTACTTTCTTGCTTTTATTCATTTGATCTTTCCTCTTGGACTGTGAGTATCATTTCTCTCATTCAGGCTACCTAATTATCAATTACCAATCTATTACAATTGTAAGTTAGCTTGCCTGTACTGATTATAAAATAGGCAGTTCCCAATGGTAGTTAAACAAAACTATCACATTCGATGCAATTACAAGGTATTAACTCCAATGTCTTCAAGACAAATTAATCTGAGGATATGTATTCTAAGCTCAAAGACCAACAAAAATAACAAACTTTTGGGCACAGAGAGCCTTATTCTAGAGGTGGTAAAATTGAAAAATGGTCTTGTGGTTAGTTTGGAAAAACAAAAAGAAGATACAAAATTTGGTAGTACCCAGTGCACAAGATCGATTTGCAGACCCCACTGAGGTGTTTGTACCTTAATGAGAATTTTAAAGCATCACTGGCTTTAGATGGAGAATATGGAAGACAGATGTGATGGGATAGATAGACTTCAACTACGCATACACTAAGAGCTACAACCTATGGAAAAGAAAGAAGCAAATAAAGAACAGTTAAATGAATTTTGTGGACAAAAGGTGGATAAGGCAATATAGTGGAAGTGGATGTCCAATGTGCATATCCTATTCCATGGTGGAATTTCCACTAAAGAATTTGATTGAAGGCTTCAAGCCAGGTCTCACATTCTAAGAAGAGGAAATACAGAGCCCCAGTCTCTTTGCCCTTTCAATGTTCTTTTAATTGTGTGATGATTGATAATATATTCTAATGCTTAGATCCATTAGAACTTGTTGGGATTTCACACAATTTAAATCTACTAACAAACACACACAATCGAAGAACAAATCAAGAATATAAAACAATAAGAAACAAAAAAGAACAAGACACAGATTTTACGTGGTTCGGCAATTTGCCTACGTCCACGAAGCTGCAGGGATTTCACTATTGAGAGAGTTGAGTACCGAGAGCGGCTGTACAATCCACGATTTTAACCCTAATCACCATGAANGCTATATATGGGTTGTAAAATTTTCAGGGTAAGGGATTTGTTGAATAATCTAGTTTAAGTATAAATGACATGTTTTTGATCGGATCGACAAGAGAATTAGTCGAAGTGCGTATAAATTCATCTAAATATCCTTAATCGTTAAATTAAAAAAATTATAAAAAAAATAATTTTCATTCATGATTAGATTTTTTCACAACTAACGAAATTTTGTTTTTGGANCAAACTAGACTCCATAAAAAAAACCAATAGAACTGTTGCCCAAAAAACAATGATGCATTCCAACAGCAGGCTTCTCTTAACTCCAAGATTCTTTTTGCAACATTTACGAATATATTTCCAGGATTTATGCCGTTATAGGTCTGATAAATTAGCTATTAGTCACCTCATGCAACTCTTCTCTTTTGTCCTGGCTTATGACAAGTCGCATAAAAGATGGATTCTAAGCATGACAAAGGTGGAGATCACACTTAAAAAAGAATAATTCCAAACTATAAAAGTTAGTTGAAACTAATAAATTAATCTGGGTGCCAGAATTGGCAACTGCCCTTAGAGTAGGAGTGAGCCACTCTGTCACCTAGCTCACATGTCAACTTGGAAGTCTTTGTTTCCAAAGAGAGAAAGAAAGATCTAATCTTTTTAGCCTCATATGATGTAGTAGGAGAATCATATAGTTTTTAGCTAAATTCAGTTAAAACAATCCTGATTTGGAAACATATTCTTTTTATGATGAATAATTGGAAGTGTATTCTTTGTTTTGTTATAGGGGTGAAAGTTGGGGGGGTCAACCAGAACCCAATATAAGCTCAATCTAAAAATATTATGGACAAAGATTATCAATATTTGAGTTTGATTTAGGCAAAAAAATCAGGCTTTTTCATTCTGTTCATCCACACCAAGAAGATGCACCAGTTTTTTTCTTGTGGCCACCTCTAATTTCCCCTTCATGAAGTTAATGGCTTGATGAAATTTCTCCAATGGCACGCAACATTTTTGTCAAAAGACATCTGACAATTCAAATATAAAGCTTGTCTCTTGAAACTGTCATGATTGGGAAATAACTGAAAGTGAAATATGCAAATTCTCTGCTAATATTAGCTTGTGACCATAACATCGCCTTTAGGTGAAGAAAATCATTGGTCAAGCTCTCATTCTCTCTTCCACTAATGGTTTTGGAGGATTTCCATGTGATTTCCAACCACTTGAATTGTCCTTTTTGGTTGTGCATTGACTATTTCTTCACGCGTTATCTCATAGAAGTTTGCTTCAACTTTATGTGAAAATTGTCTTGTTTCTCTGCACCAGATGGCCATGAAGACAATAACTTTTTTTTTTTTTAAATTTTTTTTGGGGGAGGGAGGGAGGGAAAGGGGAGGAAGGACTTGAATCCTTTATCTTAACAAAGTAAAACTTTTAGAAGGTAAGCAATACTATTGAACCAAAGACCCGTTGGTATTATGAAGACAATAACTACAGTCTACAAGCAACAGAATTTCTTTTGTTTGCATTGAAACGACCGAAATATTTTAATTTTTCTTAAAAAATGCAACTGACATTGATTGAATTAAAGGACTAAAATTTCATTTTTTTTTTACCAAAAATGCCCGAAATGTTTATGTTTCCAGGTACAAAAATGAATTAATGATTGAATGTCAAAACCAAAACAACCAATGTCATTGGAAAAAAACTCTCCAAATTTTTGCTCGGTTTCTATAATGTTTCCAAAATATTTGCAAAACGCTTCCATTTTAGACTGACCAAAACTATGCACCAAAAACAAATTTCGATTCTTAATTGAATATTGAAATTTCTCTATTTCTAGGTATTTCAGAATATGTCGACATCCTTGGGTATGCTTTGATCAATATTATGGAAATAAATTTTTATACTCTTTCTCCTTTTTTTTTCATCTCTGAAAGATTTTTATTTCTGAATTAGTTGACACTATGCAACACCCATACGAAATTTTGACCATTAGAGTCTACCGTGTAATGGTCTGTGTGTTTTATACAACCTGCTTTTTTCCCTCAAGTTTTTCTAAGTGTTCACATCCATCTATGCATAGTTGTGAACACAGAGAATAAGTCTGTAACTGCACCGTGCACAAGACTGCAGTCCACATACAAAGCAAATGTAGGTAAATCAAGCAGTAATTATTTACGTAGGGACCTTTTAAACTTCCCTCTCATTTTAACAACTCCTAAAAATCCTGAGAATTCAGAACACATTACAATAATTTTTGTGCCCTGCTAATCAGGAAGATGTTGGAATCCACTCACCACCTTGAATAAAATTCTGCACCGAGTAGGAGAAAACATGTTCAGCTGGAATCTGGCTACTCCATGATACTCGCGCTGACAAACTCGATCCAGCCCCAGAATTCCCAAATTCCCCGTAGTAGAGAGTTTTCAATGCAAAATCACCACTCCAAGGCAACCACCCTTGTGGTGTAACCAAAGCCTCCAACATACACTGTATAAAAACTGTCCTCGAATACTCCTTCCATGGCCTCCCCAAGAAATTCTTGTGCACACTGGGTTTGCCATAGTACAACGCCATATACTCATCGGTACCATTGACCACACAATTCTGAAAAACAAAACCTGTTGATTGGGCTGGATCTATTCTGCCATGAGCTGTCACAGCATTGTTCTCACCCTTTTCGGGTTTAAGTTGTCGTGGTCGGACTAGTATTAGGCAGTCTTGGAAAAATGCAGCTGAGTTTCCAAAAATGAAATCCACATTCCCTTGGATGCGACATGACTTGTAATATTGGCGAAGGGAGTGCGCATATAGTGTGTCTTGATTGCCAATTAGTTCACAGTTCTCAAGGATGGACAGATCACTGTCAGATCGAAAGGCCACCGCTTGATGAGCATCAGGACCAGCTGTGTTCTTGATGGTAAGATCACTAGCCATGAATCCATCACCGAGAACTCCTGTTCCAGCATGATCGACAATGTTTAACACAATTTAACTACTTATGCACCAAATCAGTTCACTAGAACTATGAATCTGCAAAGCATGTAGCTCATGTTTCATGCCCAATCCTTATTTTAACATCGAATAGGGCTAACCATGGATGTCTGATTTGGTTTAAATAAAATACCACTATCAATAAGAAAAGTTTTTAATTGAATTGGCTTTTCGAGTAGGTTGCAAAAGAACTGAGTTGTTCATGAAAAGCTCGGGAATGAGCCTAACTTGAGATTCATCCAAGTTCATTCATTTGCAAAATGAACCAAGGTCGAATCCAAATTTAAGCTCATTTAATAAACAAGAATAGCCTAACACCGACTTATTTCGCTTGCTAATATATGCATATAAAGGAGGCACTCTTGATCTTACACAATTCTGAATTCGAGTTAAAAGTTAAAAACAAGATCGAGCTCAATTGGATTAATCAGACTAGCCGAGCACAGGTTCAGAGAAAAAAATAAACAAGCTGTTCTTGAGCAAGTGTTTGAAGGTTGAAACAATATCGAGCCCCTTTGCAAATGAACAAATGGAGGTTATAACATTCTGGTGCTCAGCACGGTTCCCTTCTTGTACACCTCCTATTCAAGTTTCATTTACACAATACCCTAGCATGTGTTGACCTTTGAATAAAGACTGCCTTTACTGGTCAAGTCCATCATGTGTTTTTTTGTCCCATATCAAGAGCAAATGAATCTCTAGGAACATATACAACCGCGTAAGGCTGTGACAGCAAACACCATTCCCAGCCACTAATGCAGAACGTGTGAGTCCTACCAAACATGACCATATCTCTTTCTTAGCACTAAAGATTTGCAATAAACTGGTACTATAACTACAATGTTTGTGACTAATCTGCTATGAATATTTTTCCTACCTTTGGGGATAATCTACAGTCAAATACTACGTNAACCAAGGTCGAATCCAAATTTAAGCTCATTTAATAAACAAGAATAGCCTAACACCAACTTATTTCACTTGCTAATATATGCATATAAAGGAGGCGCTCTTGATCTTACACAATTCTGAATTCGAGTTAAAAGTTAAAAACAAGATCGAGCTCAATTGGATTAATCAGACTAGCCGAGCACAGGTTCAGAGAAAAAAATAAACAAGCTGTTCTTGAGCAAGTGTTTGAAGGTTGAAACAATATCGAGCCCCTTTGCAAATGAACAAATGGAGGTTATAACATTCTGGTGCTCAGCACGGTTCCCTTCTTGTACACCTCCTATTCAAGTTTCATTTACACAATACCCTAGCATGTGTTGACCTTTGAATAAAGACTGCCTTTACTGGTCAAGTCCATCATGTGTTTTTTTGTCCCATATCAAGAGCAAATGAATCTCTAGGAACATATACAACCGCGTAAGGCTGTGACAGCAAACACCATTCCCAGCCACTAATGCAGAACGTGTGAGTCCTACCAAACATGACCATATCTCTTTCTTAGCACTAAAGATTTGCAATAAACTGGTACTATAACTACAATGTTTGTGACTAATCTGCTATGAATATTTTTCCTACCTTTGGGGGTAAAATATACAGTCAAATACTACGTATCACTAGATAATTAAACAATTCCACACTGATTTCGAAAATATATTCATAGCAGATTAGGTGTTATAATGCAAGGTGCAGATGAGATGAGATGATGATATAATATATTACCGTAACACGCTAAATATTTACTCATCAAGTAAGTCTACAGAAATGTTAATATCTAATTAGTATGTATGGCCACATAATAGCAACTTAAACAAATCAAGAAATTAAGGCAAATAGATTTTTACACTAAAACTGTTCACTTACCAACAGTAGCAGTATTATAGGTGGAAAGCCCAGGCTGGCCCACATTCAATGACCCCGTAATGACGGTTTTGCCCACGCCATCCCCCAAAAATACCACATTTCTCTTCTCCAATGGAACCCGAACCGTTTCCTCATACAACCCTTCCTTGATCCATATCACAAACCTCCGGCTCCCCCCATTATCCGGGGCCGCGTTCACCGCCTCCTGCACCGTAGCATACTCACATCCGCCCTTGCCCTTACACACCGTCACGTCTGGCTTCAACCCCGCCGGAACGCCACCCTTATACTCCAACCCAGACCCACCACCTGGTTCCCAAAACCCGTCCCGCTCCGTCTTGGGTGGGCCCCACGACCCGGTTTCGTTCCCAATTATGTCATAACACCGTATCATACTCAAGGCGTTACTTGTCAATCCAATCAGAGAATTCATAAACGCCATCGTCTGATTCACCATTGAAGTGTCATTCGCGTACTTCAAACCAGACCAACAGTCATACTGGTATGCTAAGCTCGCACTCATCCATGCACGTGAGTCCTTGATTCTGCCACGTGGCAAGGCTCCAGCCGTAGATGAGATCCTGTACTCCGAATTGTGAAGTGATTCTAAACAGTTTTTGGCCGCGGTTGTGCGGTTGAGATTGCCTGTGGACGAGTCTAGGATATTCTGGACCATGGATTGAGCTGTTTTGAGGTTTTGGGAAGAGACCCACATAGCTGATTGGATGATTTGGAGTGGGGTTGGGTTGGGAGGCACTTGATTTGATCCGAACAGTGAGGTTTCACAGGTCTCTGGGAAGCGTGAAGACTTGCAGGCTTGTCGGATCTCTGGGGAAGTTGAGGCCATTGAGGGCTTTGGAGAGGGTGGTTTCGAAATGGGTTTGGTAAATTTTGGTGGAGATGGACCACGGTGGTGCGTGGCGGAGGAAAGAGAAAAGAAGAGGAGTAAAGAGAGTATAGCGAGAGAGAAGATGGTGGCCATTGAAATGAGAAGAAATTTCAGAGAGAAATTGGACTTGGAATGGAGGGACACAGATGTGGGTTTTATAGGCTTTCTGTGGTGCATGATTATATATATCTGTGCGCATGTGTGATGATGTTTTGGAGGGTAGTGATTTGTTTGGAATGTGAGGGGAGAGAGAATTGTCTGATATGGAAATGGGACTGGAGTGACGGGTTTGAATAATTAAGTGTTGAATGACATTGTTGGGAGTGTTTTGATATGTAGAGAGAGAGAGAGCGCGCACTCTCTGAGGAAGAACCGAAGGAGCCCTATGAGGTCTGGGCAGATCTATGCGGACTGTTTGGTTGTGGGTTTATGGACAGTTGTGGAGTGGTTTGCATAATTAAATGGAGATCTGGTTTTAGATTTAAGAAATCTGAGATTTTATTCTCGTAATACCTCGTTGATTTTGCTATATATGGGTTGTAAAATTTTCAGGGTAAGGGATTTGTTGAATAATCTAGTTTTAGTATAAATGACATGTTTTTGATCGGATCGACAAGAGAATTAGTCGAAGTGCGTATAAATTCGTCTAAATATTCTTAACCGTTAAATTAAAAANCATCATCTGCATTCATATAACTTTGAGCCCTTGGCAAGAGCTTTGTCATACTTATAAGAGGGGCCTTGGACAATGAAAATAAAAATCTAGAAGGTTGAAGTCCTCCAATAAGGGCAATCAAGACTATCTTATCATCCAAGTTGTCGATTTGCAGGGACTCTCTAGTAAAGCATAACACCTAAAATTCAAGGCATCATCTGCATTCATATAACTTTGAGCCCTTGGCAAGAGCTTTGTCATACTTATAAGAGGGGCCTTGGACAATGAAAATAAAAATCTAGAAGGTTGAAGTCCTCCAATAAGGGCAATCAAGACTATCTTATCATCCAAGTTGTCGATTTGCAGGGACTCTCTAGTAAAGCATAACACCTAAAATTCAAGGCATCATCTGCATTCATATAACTTTGAGCCCTTGGCAAGAGCTTTGTCATACTTATAAGAGGGGCCTTGGACAATGAAAATAAAAATCTAGAAGGTTGAAGTCCTCCAATAAGGGCAATCAAGACTATCTTATCATCCAAGTTGTCGATTTGCAGGGACTCTCTAGTAAAGCATAACACCTAAAATTCAAGGCATCATCTGCATTCATATAACTTTGAGCCCTTGGCAAGAGCTTTGTCATACTTATAAGAGGGGCCTTGGACAATGAAAATAAAAATCTAGAAGGTTGAAGTCCTCCAATAAGGGCAATCAAGACTATCTTATCATCCAAGTTGTCGATTTGCAGGGACTCTCTAGTAAAGCATAACACCTAAAATTCAAGGCATCATCTGCATTCATATAACTTTGAGCCCTTGGCAAGAGCTTTGTCATACTTATAAGAGGGGCCTTGGACAATGAAAATAAAAATCTAGAAGGTTGAAGTCCTCCAATAAGGGCAATCAAGACTATCTTATCATCCAAGTTGTCGATTTGCAGGGACTCTCTAGTAAAGCATAACACCTAAAATTCAAGGCATCATCTGCATTCATATAACTTTGAGCCCTTGGCAAGAGCTTTGTCATACTTATAAGAGGGGCCTTGGACAATGAAAATAAAAATCTAGAAGGTTGAAGTCCTCCAATAAGGGCAATCAAGACTATCTTATCATCCAAGTTGTCGATCTGCAGGGACTCTCTAGTAAAGCATAACACCTAAAATTCAAGGCATCATCTGCATTCATATAACTTTGAGCCCTTGGCAAGAGCTTTGTCATACTTATAAGAGGGGCCTTGGACAATGAAAATAAAAATCTAGAAGGTTGAAGTCCTCCAATAAGGGCAATCAAGACTATCTTATCATCCAAGTTGTCGATTTGCAGGGACTCTCTAGTAAAGCATAACACCTAAAATTCAAGGCATCATCTGCATTCATATAACTTTGAGCCCTTGGCAAGAGCTTTGTCATACTTATAAGAGGGGCCTTGGACAATGAAAATAAAAATCTAGAAGGTTGAAGTCCTCCAATAAGGGCAATCAAGACTATCTTATCATCCAAGTTGTCGATTTGCAGGGACTCTCTAGTAAAGCATAACACCTAAAATTCAAGGCATCATCTGCATTCATATAACTTTGAGCCCTTGGCAAGAGCTTTGTCATACTTATAAGAGGGGCCTTGGACAATGAAAATAAAAATCTAGAAGGTTGAAGTCCTCCAATAAGGGCAATCAAGACTATCTTATCATCCAAGTTGTCGATTTGCAGGGACTCTCTAGTAAAGCATAACACCTAAAATTCAAGGCATCATCTGCATTCATATAACTTTGAGCCCTTGGCAAGAGCTTTGTCATACTTATAAGAGGGGCCTTGGACAATGAAAATAAAAATCTAGAAGGTTGAAGTCCTCCAATAAGGGCAATCAAGACTATCTTATCATCCAAGTTGTCGATTTGCAGGGACTCTCTAGTAAAGCATAACACCTAAAATTCAAGGCATCATCTGCATTCATATAACTTTGAGCCCTTGGCAAGAGCTTTGTCATACTTATAAGAGGGGCCTTGGACAATGAAAATAAAAATCTAGAAGGTTGAAGTCCTCCAATAAGGGCAATCAAGACTATCTTATCATCCAAGTTGTCGATTTGCAGGGACTCTCTAGTAAAGCATAACACCTAAAATTCAAGGCATCATCTGCATTCATATAACTTTGAGCCCTTGGCAAGAGCTTTGTCATACTTATAAGAGGGGCCTTGGACAATGAAAATAAAAATCTAGAAGGTTGAAGTCCTCCAATAAGGGCAATCAAGACTATCTTATCATCCAAGTTGTCGATCTGCAGGGACTCTCTAGTAAAGCATAACACCTAAAATTCAAGGCATCATCTGCATTCATATAACTTTGAGCCCTTGGCAAGAGCTTTGTCATACTTATAAGAGGGGCCTTGGACAATGAAAATAAAAATCTAGAAGGTTGAAGTCCTCCAATAAGGGCAATCAAGACTATCTTATCATCCAAGTTGTCGATCTGCAGGGACTCTCTAGTAAAGCATAACACCTAAAATTCAAGGCATCATCTGCATTCATATAACTTTGAGCCCTTGGCAAGAGCTTTGTCATACTTATAAGAGGGGCCTTGGACAATGAAAATAAAAATCTAGAAGGTTGAAGTCCTCCAATAAGGGCAATCAAGACTATCTTATCATCCAAGTTGTCGATCTGCAGGGACTCTCTAGTAAAGCATAACACCTAAAATTCAAGGCATCATCTGCATTCATATAACTTTGAGCCCTTGGCAAGAGCTTTGTCATACTTATAAGAGGGGCCTTGGACAATGAAAATAAAAATCTAGAAGGTTGAAGTCCTCCAATAAGGGCAATCAAGACTATCTTATCATCCAAGTTGTCGATCTGCAGGGACTCTCTAGTAAAGCATGACACCTAATCACATAGTGATTCTCCCTTCCCTTTCTTTAAGTTTAGTAGTTTGTTGAATTTCTATTAAGGGTGCAACTCGGGCGGGTTGGACAATCAACTCTAGCCCAACCCTAGGTATACAATCTTCAACTCTAACCCTAGCTCTAACTCTACCTTGGGTTGGAAAACTCAACCCGAGCACTGCCCGAGTTTAATTTGGGCGGGCTCGGGTTGAATTCGGGTTGCGAATTTCAGGTTACTTTACAGGTTCAATTCGGGTAGAGCCTAAAATAGGTTTGTTGTTCTAAACTTAATACATATATTACATAATATTCACTTAAATTAACAACCAATAACTTCAACCAAGTTTTTAACGAGAGAGGCTGAGAGAACGAGAGAGGCAAAGAGAATGATATAACAAAAATGAAAAATCAGTGCTAATGCTTTATATATATAATATATATATATAATTTTTTTTTAATTTGTCGAGTTAACCCGAGCCCAACCCAAATTGAATTCGGGTTGGGGTTTTTTGACCCAAGCACAACCCTAGTATTAAAAACCCTTGCCCAAGTCCTAATTTTTTCGAGTTGGGCTCGGGTTGAAATCGGGTTGCCCAACCCAAGTTGCACCCCTAATTTCTATGAGTTCACCTTCATATGAATTGGGATATGAACGATTTACTTAATTCAACGAGTGAACTAATGGATCTTGGGGGAAGTTTATTGAACTAGGGTTGAGTTGTTCCCTTAAAAGTTATGGGGAATACTCGACACATGATCTGATCTGGCACACTATGGAGAAGCATGAAAGACTTGAAAGTTTCCAAGTGATTCAAGGGGATTTTCTCCATTAAAAGCAATCTATTTTAGGTAGCTTGAACTTTGGAGGCAAAGGATAGTGTGTCATATAATGTGAAAAAGGGGACTCCATGCGCATAACAAGAATTTCCACCATTTCAAGAAGCTCTGACTTTCACTGTATTGAGTAAGTCCCCAATGTGACCATTTACCTCTCTAAATTTTTGGTCTAAAGAGTTATCTTCTTCTTGTTGGTGAGGGGTATCCTTGTGTCTATGCTCATCTCTGGCATCTTTCACCTGATTACATTGTGTTTTCCCTAAACAGGAGACCTACTAAGGAAATTGGTCAATAAGCATCTGGATGATTTGCTGAGTTTGTTAGGCCAAACCCTCCATGGTTTAATTCATTTTGTCGTAGTTTTTTTCCACATTAAGCATTCTCTGAGCTTCTTATTGTTTATTGACTCAAGGGAGACTCTATCATGATTGTCCCCTTTGGGTGACTCTTGAGAATGATGGTCTCTAGGGATGTTGTCTCTAGTAGCTTCCATCAATCTGGTAGTCACCATTTAAAATCCTCAATTGAGGGAAATCGTGAAATGCAACGAATTTATTGTTATTCTTATAGATGGCGCTAAACTATTGATTCAAAATTTGTAGTAACCTCCACTTCAGCTTGTCGGAGCTCCGATGACCTAAAAACAAAAGTTAGAGATTGAAAGGTGAGCTCTAGGNGCAATCTTGGTCAATTAACTCATCTTGCTCTCTCAAAGCATATTTGTCACCCCCAATAGGCTGGGATGGAATAGATTGCTTCGGTTGTTTAGCAAGATCAGAAATATCCCATGATTGGGCATTCTCCGCTAAACTATCAAAGTAGTCTAATGTTTCCTCGGGCTTTTCCTTGGGTGTACCAAGCTAATCTCTTCCAAATCTAGGTTTGCTCGAACTCTTTGTACATACTCCCTTCGTGCTAAACTATTTTCTCCTCTAGCTACCAGCCCCCCTGAGATCATTTTTGTTTCTCCCAAGGG